TCCCTCTGGATGTGTTTTCAAGTGGAGAACTGCAATACTGAGATTAGTTTTGTTTTGATGAGAAACTGTCAGGCAGCTCCTTGTTTTGAAAAATTAAAGCTAAGCTGGGAGTTGGACATGGAGCTTGCTCAACTCCATCACCAGCCTTCTGCAGCAGGGACCCAGATCAACGCTTGCTTTTGCGATCTGTGTTAATCTGAACCTTTAAATTTCCTTCCCTTGTGCCTCTGGTTTCAAGTGTCCCATTATGCTGGTGTCTCTTGCAGAGCCGCAGACATCGCATTTGGTAACCATCACGTGTGCCTTGTACCTTGCATGGCAGATTGATGGGAAGGTTGTTTATGGCCTGTGCGGGGTGTGCATTGATAGGGACTGCTCAATGCGCTCCTCTCGGGTGGAAAGCACAAACAGTTTCATGTCTGAGCTGAAAACTGTGGTTCCTCTGCCGTGTGCAGCTTGCTGTGAGCCAGAGCTGTTCCTCTGAGATGGTAAACAGCAAGTTTGATTCAGGTAGGTAGGGGTACTGCTGTCTTCTCCTTGTTTTCTGATCCTTATAAATGCTCTGGTAGCTGTTGGGCTTCTGGCAGCATCTATTTAGCACAAAGCAGAGCTAAGCAGAGAGCCAAGTCAGAAATCTGGGCTATGTTAGATGATGGAAGCAGAGCACTCCCGTTGGTCCAGGCTGACAGACAGCCTTCCCTGTGCTCGCTGGTACAGGTGGAGTGGTGCTGGTGGGGCTGGAGTGCTTCCAGTGCTGGCTTGGTGTCTGCGCTGTGCAGGGTGTGTGTGCCCCCTGGTTAGCTCATCTCATAGCAGGGAGCCTGTCAGACAAGAGTCTTGTGAAGCATCATGCTTACTCCATTATTTCCAGGCTCCCAGACAAACAGTGTCTGCTCACTGCAACCCCTGCATCTCCCCCAAAAATAGTTTTATTCAAAGAAACTCTTCTTTTTCACTGAAGCTATTGAGAATTGAAGTGAAACCTTCCCAGCCGGGGACACAAGGCAGCATGTGTATCATCTGCCTTTATTGCTGCTGCACCGTGTGCTCACTGGCTGCCCATCCCTGCAGAGAGCTCCAAGCCTTCCCCACAGCAGTGATGACCGCAAGGCTGGTGTGTTGCAGAGGATTGTGGCCAGCTGTTACGTCTGAACAGCTCTGCGATTTTTGAGGAATGTCAGAGGACCTCTCCTGATGACTGGGACCTGGTTTGAAAGGCTCCAAGGCAATAAAGAAGGGCTCTGAGGAGCCACTTGTGCAGTGTGAATGCACCTGATCTGGAGATAAATATGCAGTTGTTGTGAGGTCACCTGCAGTGCTTGGCTGTGCTACTGTGCAGGTGGTGGATGTGCTCAGCACCAGCCGGGTTGAGATAACACTTTTCCCCCAATGTGGGAGTGTTTCTAGCTGAGCCTTTGGATTATGGATGCCTCTGCTTCCCAGCCTGTTTTCCAGCTGGCTTCCCAGCAGTAGCTCCTCTTTGCAAATACCCCCTGAGATACCTGATTTGGCAGAGATGCAGAGCAGCTGCAGGTCCTGGGGGCTGTGGACAGAGTGGGAGCTGCAGTGCTCAGCACTCCTCCAGCTGATGCGACTGATAAAGGTATGTGGCACATGGGCACAGCAGCTCAGTGACACTGCAGGTACACCGAGACTCTTGGTGTGGTAACGGTGGGCAGATGTGTCCTATGGGCTGCTGCTTCATCAGTGCCACCTGCATGATGAGCCTGGCTAAGTGAATCAAATTGCTCCCTTGGCTGTGTGTGTTTCAAGGAGGTGGTAATTTGAGGAAGATGCCAGTGTGACTCTTGGAAATGTGCCTGTGTGGTTTTGCAGGGCTCTTCACTCTCTATTTGCTCTCCTTTGCTTGCATTCTCCCTCCCTGAGTTGTTCTCCCAAGGTTTTTTGCAAGCTGTACCTTTCATTCTCCACCTCCAGAGCTCTTTCCCTTGTCAGCATGAAACCTGTGCTAATCATAATTTCCTAGGAAAGAATTTCAGAATATTTAATGGCTTCTAGGATAAGGAGTGCTTGAAAGATTAGGCCCAGCATGCAGAGTCAGGAGATCCCCATTGTTAATGTAGCTACATGGAGATCCTGCTGATCCAAAAGGTGCCAGAACCCTTTGGTTCCCAAATCTCATCACAGGAGGAACCAATGTATCACTGTCTTGGGGAGAGGGAAGCTTTTCCAATTCCTCCTTCCAAAACTGCATATCCAGCAGGAAAGCTCTGTTTCTTGGGAGTGTTGTTTTGCTATGGTGCTCTGGAGATTGGCCATGCAGCATGTGTTGGAGAGGAGTGGGCATATTTATGATTCCTTTAGGTATCTGGCTATAAAGAAACCTGCCAAAACCCCGAGTGCACTGAATTGTACTTTAAGTATTGCCGAATCCCAGCTGCAAAATGTTAGCGGGGCTCCTTAGAAAATCTGCATTTGATTCAGCTGTGGAGGTTACCAGCAACTGCAGAATTAGTGATGAATGTGTTTGCTAAGCGTGCCATTAAGAAATGAGCCATGGGCAGATGGAGGAAGGAAGTGCAGAGCTGCTTTGAGCACTTCCCATGCTAATAGAGAAGGTGCTGGGAGCTGCTGTGCCATGGGGATCAACTGGGCTCTGGCTAAGCACTATTTAAAACTGTACATTTTAGGGGAAGGAGGAGTGAAGACATCCTCTGCTGAGGTTTCCTTGCGTTCTTCAGAGATGCAGTCCTTGCCTGGCAATGGGGTGATGAACACCGGAGCTGGAAGGAGACTGCTCTTTCTGTGTCTGCCCCAGTACTGCTTGGCTCAGCATCTTGAGGCCACCAGGGTTCACCACCAGCAGCCCCTCTGTCAGTCAGGAATACCAACCACGATCTTTCAGACTGGGTCTGCTTTGCAGTCCATGTCTAAGCAGTGTAACAGAGCCAAAGAGTAAGGAAAATGCAGCATAGTCTCTTCTGTCCAAATCCCTCAGGCAAAACATGAAACAAGAACAAACAGAAAGAGGTAGAAAACAGTGCCAAGCTATTTCCCATGCTGTGCAGTCCTTCCTGAGCCCATAAGAGCCTTCTCAGTGAACCAGCCATGCATGTGCTCTCATGCCCTATCTCAGGGGCATCCTGTGTGCTAGAACACTGAGCTCTCAGAACAGGGGGCTGGTGAGGACAGATATTCTCTTAACGCAGGTGTGCAGAGTGGTTTCTGATCCTTAAAATGAGACTTGAGCATGTGTTTAACTTGATTCAGGAAGCCCTGCTAGCACCTTCAGCGGAGCAATCCAAAGTACAGAATTGACCATTCATCTCCCATGTAAGGAAAACTGCATGAACAAGTGGAAATGTGGTTGTCTTGAACTTCTTGGTTCAGACAGCCATCAGGTGGCTTTTATCACTTCTCCTGGCCTTATCTTTTCCTGAATTACTTCAGCTGCCCTGCCCCAGCCTAGGTGCATCATCTTCCAGCCTGTGGTCTCACCAAATCCAGGAGTTCCTGCAAAGCTGTGAAGCATCTGCTGTGAAATGGGATGATCCTGATTCATGTGGATAGCACTGGTTAAAAATGCTGGCAGTGCAAATTCTGCCAAAACAAACAGTTCATTGAAATCTGTTGAATGGGAAAGCGATTTCAATAAGGTTTCTTTAGCGGTGATGTGGGGAAGGGAGAGGGAAGCCAGCAGTGGGTTTTTGCTTTTGGCTGGTGATTGAAGTTGTCTTAGGAAAAAAAAAAAAAAATAAATCCTATTGTATAATCTTCAAGTTAAAGAGAAAGGAAATCTGTTGAGGAGCTGCTAATTGAAGGAGTTCTGAATTTGCCTTGTAAGAAACATCAACACTTTAGCTGTCCTTGTTCTGTTTTGGAACAAGCTTCCCCAGACTGATGGAGTTTCCCACAGAGCAGATGTTCATTCCCTAATTTGTACTTCATCAGCAAATACTTGAAATCCAACCTGTGTCCCTTCTCAGCTATAGGGTGGCAGGAGTCAGAAGATTGATTTCAAAGCAGGGCTCATTGCCTATGATGGTGCAGGCGTGCCCGTGCCAGGACAGCTTCCCCCAGCGTGTTTGCTTACTGGTAGTGGGAGGGTTGTGCTCCACTTGGTAGCCTTCCACTTGAATAAGGCCCTGAACCTACAGCCAAACTTTCTGCTGCACAACATCAATCCATGCGCTGAGGCAGAGGCTTTAAATGAGTAATGGGGAGGAAGACAAAGGTAACATGTGAAATATGCTCCATGCAAGGCTGTGGTCAAAAGGAGTCCCTGGCTGTGGCTCTGGGCTTGTGGCTGTGCCTGGCTGATGCAGCACCAAGCCGCCCGTGTGTGCCAGGCAGGAGCTGTCTGTCGGGCAGACGTCATGACAAGCTGTATTTATCCTGGCTGTTGCTTGGCAGTACTGTTCTGAGGTGCATCAACATAATGAGATACATAAAAGGGGAAAGGCAGTTAAATGTGTAATTGCATCACAATAAACATAAAACTGAACATTAATGAAAAAATCTGAGCACGCTTAGTGTGGTACAGTTGAACACTCCCACTACCTCGAGCCCTGGTACCCTAAGTTTATGATAATTTCTGGTGATGTCGTTAGCAGAATTAAATGAGTGTCTAACTGTCCAGAAAGACATCAGAAAGAGAAAAACAATGGGTTTTGAGACTTGTGGGTGTCCCTGGGCAGCATGAGTTGGGGGAGCTGCTGCCGGGTGATGCCTGAGCATGAGAGGTGAGGAGAAGGAAAGGATGGGTGCAAGAAGCAGTGTGATCACTTTGGAAATGGAACTGTGCAATGACTGGGAGGGATCAAAACACCTGAAGGGCTGCTGGATGCTCAATGAACATGTATATGTGTACGTACATTCCTGGCTCCGACCATACAGTGCTGCCTCTGGTCCAACAAATGTGACACTCCAGAAAGAGTATAATGGCTGACATGGATGAACCACTGGGAAAAAAATGGAACCAAATCAATTGCTTTCCTCCTAGTAAATTAAATCTTCTCTCTTCTGTGCCCCCATGGCAGGTTTTGGAGGCTTGCTTGCTGCTCGCTGTGCATTGAGGCCATGGCACCACGGCTCACTGGAATGGCATCTCTCTCTCTTGCTGCCCTTGGACTCCTGCTGTCAGCTGTCCCTGCTGATGCTGGGTAAGGTGGCAAGAGGCAAGGCCTTTGGCCAAGGCTGCTGTTCTTTCTCAGTGCTTCAATATACCTGTGCTGGTACCTGCATGAAGCAGTTCAGGGCATAATCCTGAAAAGATTCTCTGCTGTTTCTTTGGTTGTGCTCCTGGGCAGCCTTTATAGGCATGTAACACAACAGCAGTGACTGCTGCCAGTGCCTCTGCTCTCAGCCCCTGTGCCTTTCACCCAGTGACTGCTCAGTCTTGCACAGCTGAGCTGACTGATTACATTAACACTAGTTGAGCTGTTCTTGCTAAGGACGGTTGTCAGCATCTTTTGCAACAAAACCAGTTTTCAAACATAGCCTTTCTGCATTTCAACTTTGGGTGAGGAGTGTGCTTGGATGATTTTTAACCTGGAAGTGACACACACACCTCTTTCCAGCTCTGATTTTTTAAAATACTCTTTAAAAACAAGCAATCTGGAAAACAATACTGCTTCAGCAGTTTGGCTGTTCATAATGTAGGGAGAACTGTGCACGTAGGATCATAGACTCATAGAATGGCTGAGGTTGGAAGGGATCTTAAGCCAATCTAGTTCCAGTGGGGATGTAATGACTTTTTTCCCCAGCCTCTCCTAATTAAATGTGCTGGATAACTGTCTTCCCTGCCTAAAGGCTTTTAATTCATCCCTCCTTGGAGTGTTGCACTGGCTCTGCAGTTTCCCCCCCTGCCCGTGCCACTCCCCTGGTGCCTTCCATGTAGATCCTATACAGCTCGCGTTGAAGTCAAAACCTGTCAGCCTAAGTAAAACCACTTTGAAATCTGTAAACTCATTTTTCCCCATTGCTACTGAGTCTCTGTCAGGAGTTCTTTCACAAAAATCTGTCCTCTCGCTCTTTATATTATGGGTAATTTTTAAAGATAGCTTATAAAACTTTAATGAATGAGCTTTCACGAGCGTGCTAGCTATTCATAAGTTATAGATGGTTATATACCCATCAGCAGACATGGTTACAGATTGCTTTTAACTGTGACATCCAGTGAAAGCTGGCACAATTGAAACCTCGCTAATTACAGCAGGCACTTGTTAAATTCCTCAAAATCCCCTTTACTTGGGGGAGTGCAGGTATTTCAGATTTCCTTTGTGCTCAAGTCCAGGTGAAAACCAGAACCACTGTTTTGGTTCAGATAAGTATTAAAGGCTGAGATGCTGAGGGGTTTTGCTGTTTCAGCATTGTGATGTTGCATGGGGCTGAGGGATGCATCTCAAGTGCTTCATGGCCTCGTGCAGCTGCTGGAGGCTGAGCTTCCTGCCTTGACCACTGCTCCCATAAGAGCTGGTATTGGTTCACTACAAATCAGAGACCAAGAGCCCTTGTGAGATGTGAGATCTGATCCCTGGAGAAACAAACCACAAGTACTTGAAAGCCAATTTCCCACTGTCTTTGGTCACTGATGCAGACAGATTAATGTCAAAATTGCTCAAAATGAGATATTTCAATTAACGGCGACATGCTGAATAACATCGATTCAGCCTCTCTCTAAAAATAACTACAGCAGTACTTGCTCTTTTTTTTTTTTTTTTTTTGGTAGAAATCAGATTTTATTATTCCTTTATCTTACAGGAAAGGGACTTTGTGTTGGGGAATCATTTTGGTACAAAACTCCCAGCAGCTCTGCTACTTGTCACCCTCTCGACCCTTCCTAGAATCTTTACAAGTGGACTCATAGCGTCAGAGGTGGCTCATCTAACCAGACGGGATGCTGCAGCATTATGCTTTGAACAGCTTCACTGATGTTGCACCCTTCCTCTTCCTCTTCCTTTCTTTTTTTTTTTCCATTCCTCTTCATAATGATTTCTCAATCCTTACACTTCATTTCTGTGCTCATACCGAAGCCATGGCTGCACCCCATGAGCTGAGCAGAGCTTGATGGGCTGAGTGAGCCCTGTGCTGCTCTCTGGGGCTGCTCCCACCTCCTGAACAGAATTCTAGAGCACTGGTTTGATGGCATTGACCTTCCTTATGCTTTGCACCTAGGAGGAGTTTGGGCTTTCTCCAGTGTTATGCCACGTCCCTTATTTTTTTATTTTTATTCTTTAGTATTTTTATTCCCTTCTCCATCTTTCCTGCATTCTCAGCATCTCTACTGAGTTTTGTTTTGTTTTCTGTTTCTTAGTCTTCTGCCTTTCCATTAGTTTTGTTCCTACCAGTTATTTCTGCTGGGAAAAGCTGTGCTTGGAACTTCAGCACTGATAGATACCCTGTGCTGTTTAAAATCTTTGAAGCAGCCGGTTTTGTGAGGATTCATAGGCTTCTTTCTGTTGATTGAAAGGGAGACGCAAAATGCAAATGTGCGATTTGAGCCCCTTGGGCTTGCGAAATTGCGCTGGATATTTTGTTTGGTGATATGAGTTCTGTTTGAGAAATGCGCTGCTTATTTTGTTCCACCTGGGGCAGAAAATGCCCCAAGGAAATCATCTTATTTGGGGCTCCTAGGCTTCTTGCATTGAGCGGAGATAGGAGCATGAAAACTCATTTGATTTTATAAACAGGGAAAGTTCAACAAACTGCAGAAATGGCTCACATAGGGTTTTAATGGCAGACTCAGCCTCCCAGCCTGCTTTACTGATTTCCTATTTTTCTGCCCCTCTTTCCTTTTCCCAGGGAAGAACGCTTGGAAATGGGCTGATGTGGTAAATAACTGGCAGCACTTGCTGCGTGCTCCCACAAGGAGAAGCCAGCACTTGAATAACCCTCAGATTCCCAGAAGCTCTGTTCCTCCAACTGCCTTTCATAGGGGCAGGAGAGGGACACCAGCACAGGGTACTCCTAGTTGGGCTGGGACATGGATAAGTGTCCTTTCATTTCCATACTTAGAATGTATAAAGAGTATTTCTATTCTGATTGTGGCTTTTTTCCTCTCTCCTCTTTTCCCCAAACACACCAGGCTTTCTCAGAAGCATGTTTCAGACGTTGTTGATGACAGCAAAGACAACATCACCATTTTCACGCGCATCCTGGACAGGCTGTTGGATGGCTATGACAACCGCCTAAGGCCTGGACTCGGAGGTCAGTTGGTTGGAATGATGATGTTCTCTGCATCTGTACAGCTCTAGAAATGAGGGGCTGGCTGTACAGATGACTTTTTGACAAAACTGATGGTTCTGGGAGGAAAGCCAGAGCCAGTCTCTTGTTGGTTGCGTTGTTTTGGGTCCGTTGTATCTCGTTGTTTGGTATTTTGTGAGAAGAGAGGCACACGTCTCTACAACTGTTGTGGCCTTCTGTGACATTACATTGGTAGGCCTGTAGATGGAGCAAATATAATTTTATTTTTTTCTGCTACTTTAATAAGCAGTATCATGTCCTAAATTATGACACCACCAGCTTGCAGAACCTTCCATCCACATTGGCTTTGCTTTTTAGTTGCTGAGTTTTGCTGCAGAACCTCTCTCTTTATGTCCTCTCAGCTGCTCCCCAGGTAGCTGTTATCTGGGGGGATCTTCTATGTGTACTGATCTGGATAGCATGCACTCAGCCGGGCTCTGCTATCTCCTGAGCTTCCTTCAGCATTGCCATTACAGTAGCTACTGAGCTCTTCTCCAAGCACCTGCAGATGTTCAAGTGCTTTAGAAAGCAAAACCCTAGCTAGTCACCTTCCAGTGCTCATGGCATGCATCTAGCATGCTGTATGGAGGAAGAAGCAGCAGGGAGATGTTCCTTCCTACTGGAGGAAATGCAGTTCCTACCCAGAGCCGGACTTGCCATGCATCTGTCATTCCCTGTACCTCTCACTGCTAAGCTTTCTGTCTTCCTGCATGCTGGTTATAAAGCAATAGCCAGGAATTGCACCCTGTGCTCCTCTGCGCACCCCCTTGTCCCCACCTTGTCGTGGCCTTCTTCTTGTATCTCTCCTAGAGAGCTATGGTCCTAAGAAGAGGCTATGGAAAATCTGGAAAAGAGGGGTTTCTCCAGCGAGCATCCTCACTTCAGATGGGCTGCCATGCCGCAGAGCCCAGCTGGGAAAGGGTTACTCTATCTGCATAGGCTATGGTCCTAAGAAGAGGCTATGGAAAATCTGGAAAAGAGGGGGTTTCTCCAGCGAGCATCCTCCCTTCAGATGGGCTGCCATGCCACAGAGCCCAGCTGGGAAAGGGTTACTCTATCTGCATAGGCTATCCATCAGTTTTATTGCTTTTGTTGCTTGTTTCTTTCCCCCAGAATTAACTGCGGTCCCACTAATAGCTCTGCTTCCTCAAGTCTCCCCGATGGCTCTATTGATTTAACTCAAATGATTCTGAGAGGGGACTGAGGGGGCATTTATGTTCACCGTAGGCTCAGTTGCAGACAGCCCTGTGCTAAGTATTAACAAGAGGACTCCCAAGAGCCCCCTTGCTGGGAAAGTTAAAACCTTTCTTGGAATATCTCTGCTCTGTTGCTTTAGATCCTTTAATAATGTGCTTAACATAATAAATTGTCTTTGGAATCTGAGCCAGACATTGCATGCTCAAAGGCTGCTTTCACCTCCGACTTTCCCTCATGGAACACTCTGGCAGATGCAGATAGGAGGTTGTAACAAAGGCTGTGGGTTTGGGGGGCTCAGGCAGAAATGGACCTGCTGCAAACTAGGAGCCATCCTGGGGTGACTGTCAGCAAGAGATGGGCTTCCAATGTCCAAGGTTACGCAAGAACCAGTGGATAACCAGACAGCAGGGCTTGCAGGCTCACTTCTTGGCCTTGTTTTCCTCACCTTGTGTCAGATGTGTTCTTCTGAACCCCCTTGTCAGCACATGGGAGCAGTATGGGGCTGGCTGTGCCCAGGCTCCTGCCCCCGCATCCAGCAAAGTCTTTTCCGTGCCCACTGGGAACTGAGCAATGTTTGTTTAGACTTTGGAAAAGGAGTCTGTGTAAGCAACAGAGTGTTGATGTGGCGACTTCTCCCCTCAAGATAGCCTCTTTGTATTTATTTTCTTATCCCCTCTGCTTCCACCATCTGGTGCCACCCACTCTAATAGCTGCCATGCCAAAGCTCCTCTTCCCACCAGGATGCTGCAGACTCAGACTGAAGCACAGCAGTGCTGAGGCTGCTTAGCACCCAGAACTGCAGAGATTGTGGCCCCGTGCCTGGAAGCTACCCCATCCCTGAGATGTGGCTCAGGGCATCCTCTTAAGTGAGGAGTCCTTGCAGTCCTGGTGATTCTTGGATATCTGGGAGCATGCACCAAGCCATGTTGGAAGAAAGGCTGAGGGGAGAAGTGTCTATTAGATCCCTTCTTCAGGAACACCCACGGCAGTGGGGACACAACCACTTGTGTCAGCAAGAAGTCTTCCATGCCTGGTAGGAGGTTTTTCCTCTGTTTCTGTCATGTGCCCTGGGAATGGCTTGCTCCAATGGGCTGAGTCCTCTGTTCTGTCTGACCCCATGACCGCTGAAATGGTCTGGGCTTGGGAAAGGAGTAGCTACATAAATGGATCGTGTTATGGAGCGTGGAGAGGAAGGAACTTTCAGCAGATAACCTGTCTTTCCCCTGGGTAAACACAGTGCAGATGGGTTATTAAGTCAGAAGAGGAATAGAAATGGACCCTGAGGGAATGGAGACATCTGTTGTCACGGCCAACCTTGTGGGAGAAGAAAATCTCCTGCAGAGTGAGGTTCTATATGGGCAGCTTTGGCCTCCCCTCTCAGTCTGGAGTAGTGGATCACATGGATGCTCTGCCTGGCCGCTCAGGGATGGTGAGGGGCATCTATTTATAGCTCACAAATTCTCTTTGCTGCAGGGGCTTCCTGCAGAGAGGGCCTCTGCTTTGAACCTGGTGCTTGCCTTACTGCAAGGGTTGGAATGAAAAGTTATGGCCAGGAGAAATGGGTCGGACTGGCTGACGAAGGGAGAGATGTCATACACCTGGACAGGAAGGGTGTGAATGTGAGTGATGGGACACTGAGTAACACTCTGAGAATGACTGATGCACAGACAACTCTGTGGGTTCTTTGGCTGCTTACTGTGAAGAGTGATGTTCTACAGGCCTTGCACGGCCAGCTGGATGCCCACAGCATCACCTCAGAGAGCTCACAGTGCCTGTCGCTGGGTTGTTTGAGGTTCAGCGATGGTCCCTGTGCAGCTCTCACCTCCAGCAGCATTATTTCCATCTGGTGGTTGTAGGGTTGTTCTGTTGCAACTTAAATACATCGATCCTGTGAATGCCAGGGGAGGAGTAGAAGGGAGGTTTCCAGACTTTTCACAGACTTTTCCTTCCTTCTAATGCTCTTTGGCAATACCACATGGAGAGTTTCAGCATTTCTTTCCTTTTCTATCAGGGAGAAGACACAGGGGCTTTTCTATAGCTGTTTCCAAAGCAGGGGAAGGATTTATCCCATCTCATCCTCCAAAGTTATCTGCTTTGGAGGAGATGAGGGAGCCTGAGGTGCTGCTCAGTGTAAGTGTGAGGTTCTGAGTGAGTCTGGAGCAGCGTTGGACTAAACTCCCATACTGGGTGGTCAGAGAAGCCTGCACTCCAGAAAGCTGCTGGCCTTTCCTAGGGGCTGCCAAGAAGGGCAGGGTTTTGTCACAAGGAGAAGGTCCATGAGGACGCAGTTATTAAGAGATGGACTTTAAACTTTCTGGATAAGCCAGTTTCTCCAACTGCAATTTAATTGTAGTTTGTAGCATGTTAAGCAGCTGGTCTGGTCTCGATGGCTGTTCTCCCACCTGGATGCAGCATCACCTTCAGGGTAATCTGTGGCATTTCCTTGGAAAATCTCCTACTTCATCACTCTGGAGTCCCCAGATGTCTGTCCACATGCTGCCCCATCAGCAGGACCAGGTCAGACATCTTGCTGGTCTGTGTCCCCATGATGCGATGAGAGTTAGGAGCCTACTGCAGGGCAAGGGATCAGCAAATACAGGCAGCTGGATTAACGCAATGCCATTCCTTAAGAACAAGGTATGTGGCCCTTATGATCTCTTCTCCCCTGGTGGCAGGGCATCATCCTCAGGGCTGGCAGCAAGTGAGTCCCCCCAGGCAGAGAGAAAGTCCCAGCTTGTGTCCTCCCAGCTGGGGATATTGATTGCCTCCTCTTCCTCATCTCCAGTGGGATGTTGTTCTTCATGCCTTGCTGTCAACATCTTCATGCTTGCAGTGGGCTCAATGCAGAAACCCTTTGGCTCAAATGGGTTTCAGGCTCTGCCTCTTGTACAGAACTCAAACCAAGAATGCCCAACACAGGCACCCCTGGTGCCTTTTATCTGGGCTTGCTACGTCAGCTCTGCCTTGCAATTGGTTTTGATCTGTAACCTGTTAATATTTATCCTGCTAATAGATTCTCTTTATTCTTCTCTAAGTGAAGTGCACCCCAACTGGAGCTTTCCCTGTTTTCTTTCCATGGTTCAGTGTTTTTTTCTGTTTGTTTTACTGATGGTGCAGTTTGGCATGATGTCTTCTGAGCAAGCAGAAGTCTGTATCCCTCTTTTACCACCCATGTGTCACCGACTCAAGTGCTCATGGCCAAATGTTTTGGTCTTGGGTTCAGAGTGGCTCCATCTGGGTTGACACACTCCTGTGAGCCACTCAGTGCGTTACACCCAGTGCCTCTGTCTTCTTGTCATGACCTCCTGCAGGTGACGGCTTCTCAGTTATTACGTGGCCATTCAGGCAGAGGGGCTGAGATAGAATGAAAGAATTACAGAAGTGCTCCCTGCAGCTGATTCCAGGAACCAGGGGGGCTGGGCTCTGTCTGCCCTCCAGTTCCTTTTCTCTCCAAGGTGCAGTTTTTCCCGTGTGTCATGAAGGTACCTACGACTCATGTCATAAACATTATCTCGATCTGTTGTTTGTGCAGGAGAAGCATTAGATGACAAGCACAGCGGTCCATTGTGTTTTGTTATGATTTCCAGGATTTCAGGGCTATGCTTAATCTGTTTCTCTGCCTCAATATTCCACCTCTTCTAACTTCTCATCTTTTCTCTCTGATCTGACTTCATGCCTTGCATTGATTACTCCGGGGAGGAATTTTCCTCTTTCTTAGAGGAAAATCCATGTCTTATCTCAGCTTTTTGTCTTTGTCTGAGATTCCT